TATTTTTTTAGAAGTCATGTAGCTTCTGGGCATACAAGTGCATCAAGATTTTAAAAATCCCGCCTAAATATTGCTCAGCTTATCCAAATTTTTGTAAGATTTTAATGTTTGTTCTCTTTTGACAAGAACAGATCACACTGATGAATTATCAACTGCAGCAACATTTACCAGTGAATGTTCTTTCACATCTGCCTGCCTTCCACAGTTTTATAGTTTTGTCAGCTGAACCAGTCAACATTAATCCCTGTTCAGGAAGTATCTTCACTGCCCATATTGCAGCTGTGTGACCCTGCAAAAACCCCAACATTGTTAAGACTTGTCAGAATCAAATTCAGAGTACTTATTTCATATTCATGTAGAGGAACTTCATACCTGTAATGTCATCATACACCTGTCATTCAACCAGACTTTTGCTGTTGTATCCCATGATCCACTTAATAATGTGCCAAATTTCCCAGATGAAAGACTGCAAACTGGAATGAACATTCAAGTCAGAACTGACAAGTACCCTGCACGGCCACAAATCTTATGCCAGCAATTTCAAGAGATTAATTTAAGAGGATTTATTTGGTATTTATAGCATTTTTAGTGAACAGAAGAATTAAGTGAATTGTAGTTGTATTGCAACCTAGAAAGAAGCTGCTTAAAATTCTCAATTTTAAGCTAAAAAATTGAAATATTTTTGCCACTCATATTTATAAATTTCTCTTAGTCACAGATCTCTCGGACTAGAATATGATGACAAGCAGTTTAGATAACTAGTCAAGACACATAATTAATGCAAATGTGTAGTTTTCAAGACGAAGAAGTTTTGTCTACAGGTATTAATTTACGTCTTCAAGAGGTTATTTCATAGAAAAAATACTTAGCTCACCTTCTTGGAAGGTAAAATACTACCACCAAGAAACTGTAGTGGCATTCAAAGATTTAGCAGAAAGACAATCTGCAAATGCTCCAGAAACACAGTGAAAAGCTCTGTATTTAAAGCATCAATTAATTTTAAATACCCATCTAAGTAATAAAATGGGCAGAAGTAGTTTATTATGGAAGCTGATTTTTTTTTCTACTTACATCAGCTTTGACAAGAAAATTAATACATGAAGAACTAACTGCTTCTTAAAAGTGCAATTCTTGACAAAAGGGTAATCATTTTGTGCATTGCCAGGAATTCAGAGAGACAGTGAAAGTTCAAGCATTCATCAGGATAAACTTGGAAGTTCTTGCAATGAATGGTCACTGCATGAATTAAGATTATAAAATCCTATTTGCAGAGGCCATAATTAAACAGTTTGCTACATTATATGCCAAATAAATAAAAATTGAGTTTTATAAACTCAATTTAATTTCCTGTCTAATAATAAATCACTTTAACTTGTATGTAAAAAACTCCAGAATACAATTACTACATACCTGTGTTTTTATGACCCTTAAGGATGTAAAGAGGAGCTGGGTTGTCAACTGTGAAAATGCAAATATTATGATCATTGCCACCAGTTGCAATCAGTCCACGAGGATACAGGTCACTTGGAGGTATGATGCACACACAAGATACAAAATTTGAGTGGCCACTCATACAGTGCATCTCCGTAAAACCCCTGTTAAGACTTAAACATAGATGATAATCAATTTAGAATCAGGACAGAAACAGTAAACATCTGAGTAAATTACAATTCTTGAATTAATAACTATCTTGCCTTCTGCTGAAAAAGTATGATGGATAACCTAGAAAGAATGAAATTTAAGATAAAAATTACATCTCAGAATTCCTCCCCAGTACACAGTACTAGAGCTTTCCACTTATTTTTCAATGCAATGATAGGCCTGGAAGGACTTCTGTTTTTTCTTTCTCATTGACAAAACTATGCCAAATTTGACCAGAAACAGCTACAGTTTGTCTTCATGGAATTTTTTTCTGTCTGAAAACTCAAATGTATATCAAAGTACATAAATGAAGTTTACTGCTTGGCAAGTGTATTCACTAGTTCTTCATTAGGAGCACTATAGAGGAATAAAAGTTAAGCAGATCATAACTGACTTGACCAGCATCCTCATTTCTTCACCCTGAGCCAACCTCAATAGCTACAGTACCAACTGGAAAATGCTACTTATTTCCATGGAATAAATATGCAGGTTGGCATGCTGCATGCTTGTTTTGTTTTCCTGTGTTTGCTCCCACACTCTCAAAAACACAACCTATCACATGATATCATACTGTTATCCTTCAAACACTAATGACAAGCTGGAAATTCGTAAGGAAACCACGATACTGTTCTAAATTCTAAAACATTGTGGGAGTCAGCCTGACTGGTGTTCCAGGTCAGGCAACCATCACTGAAGAAAGGTTGTATCCCAACCCCAGACTGTGGGAAGCATTTGTTTGTTTAAGTTGTGGTGACCCCAGAGAAAAGTTCCAAAGAGTTATGGGATTGCCCATGTTAATACCTCATTTATTAGTCAATTATCACCACTCCCAATTCCAGAATGTTCTCCCTTCCTTGTACCCCATTGGCCCTCAGTTGGTGCGATGTTCACCCCACCTACCCCATTGGACCCTGCTTCCCCTTATCCCACCTCTGCACCACTTTCCCCTATAGCCGTTGGACCCCACCTCAACTCCACCTCCTCTCTTACCCCATATTTACACCCTGGACCTCCCTTCACCCTCGTCTTTGACCACCGGCTCCCAAAGAGACCTCATCCCCTTGGTTATTGTGATCGGATTTTTGGGCCTCGTCCCACATTTACTTTCGTTGTTATTAAAGTGTTTTATGTTGCTAAGCCGTGGTAGTCATACTGCTCTTCTTTTATTTTGCCACTTTTACCCTGAATATCTGTGAACCCTAAAAAGGATTATCGGGGACCACTCTCGACCCCGATAAATCATCTCCTCCCATTGAGGTACATAGAACACATGAAGGCAACATCCTTTCTTGGAAAAGCTAAACTAAAACAGCATACAGCAGTGTGTTCACCCACTGAACCCTGACTACTGCAATCCCTGAGCCTTCAAAACAGAGAAGGATTATCAATATCAACATTATAAGCTAATACAAGTAAGCTACGTCTTCTTCCTCACTGAGTTCTCAAAAACTATGGGTTAGAACTAGAATTCCTTTCCAGCTGCAAATTTCTGTGCAATCTGGCAAGTTCTTGCCTTAGTGATGAGACCCACTTAATAAGATTAGTTTTTCTTCACCTCAGTTGCAGAGCTCCAGAGATCAATACGTAAGCACTCAGCAAATTTACCAGTTATTTCTATTTCACATAAAGGCAATGGGAAGAATATTCATGCCTAGTAACTTCAGAATACAGATCACTATATAAAACTATAGTCCAGGGAGGAGGTACATCATGTAGCAAGCAGCAATACCCCACATCTCCATCATCTCCTAGACACATTGATTAGCAATACTGTTTCTGGTCAAGGTAATACACTGAAAAATTCACTTTGTGAATTCAACTACACAAATTCAGTAGGAGATAACTCTCTGTAACGTCATTATCAGAAAAATTAATATTAGTATATTTTTTCCTTTTTCAATGTCTCCGTGTATTTAATTTTCTAAACAGTTTTTTGTTCACATTCCATTTTACATTTAAAGAAGCTTGCTTAGCAAGGATGAGGAAGAACGGGTTTTTTTAAACTTTCAAAGCACACTGCCTTACTGTCAAAATCACAGCATTGTTACTAAGCAGGATAATTTTGGCAGTAAATACCACGAGGTGGAAACAACATTGTTAATACTACCTAGAAAAAATGATGCCTAGAACTACTGACATTGTTACCATTTCCAAAGCACACTACAACATCGGTGTACAGCAAACCACTTAAAAACATAAACTTCCCCCAAAAGCAGGCATGCAGAAGTTGGGCCTGCTCAGCCTGGAGAAAATTGCATGGAGACCTTTTAGTAACCTTGCAGTATCTAAAGGCGCCTCCAGGGAAGCTGGAGAGGGATTCTCCCTCACGGACTGTAGTGATAGGACAAGAAGTAACGAGCACAAATTGAAAGAGGGAAAACTTAGGTTAGTCTTTAGGAAGAAGATCTTCACTGTGAGGGCTATGAGGCACTGGACAGGTTGCCCAGAGAAGTTTTGGATATTCCATCCTCAGAGTGCTCCAGGCCGGGATGGATAGAGTTCGCAGCAAACTGTTTCGGTGAAAGGTGTCCCTGCCCGTGATTGAGGGACTAGGACTGGATAATCTTGAAAGGATTCCTTCAAAACCCTTAACGTGATTCTATGCAAGTGACAATGCCAATCACGAACGCCTCCTACGAACAGGCTCCCACCGCCCGTCACCTCCAGCCGATTCTGCCGGCAGCCCCTGAGGAGGAGTCGACTGCAGAAACAAACTCGGCGGGGCAGGGGCGGAGCCCCTGCGGCGGCACCTCCACGCTCTGCCTCCTGCGGAGCACTCACTGAAGCGCCCGGCCCGGCCCCGCCCGCCCAGCGCCGCGGCCTAGCACTCACCCGTCAGGGGCCCAGAGCCGCGCGGTTCTGTCCCGCGAGACGGACACGAAGCCGCCTTCCGGAAAGAGGCCACGGGTGAGGCCCCGCACATCCTGCCCATGCCCAAGCAGGGAGCAACGCAGCCGGAACGTGCTGCCCTCACCCGCCATGGCGGCAGCGCCAGCCTGACACAGCACGGGCCGCGCCGCCGCCGGAAGCCGCGCCGGAAGTGTCGTCATAGGGCGCGCCGCCGGGCCAAAGCGAGCCTTCTTATTCCGGCAGGCACCGCGCTTAAGGAGGCGGTTGTGCCGCCGCTCTTGTCTTGCGAGGCCCTCTGGGAGTCGTAGTCTTCGGGAGGTACGGCGGGCTGGAGCGAGATTTGTGATCATCGCGATAGCCGAGCGGGCGGTTGCTGCGAGACGGCGGCGCTGCGTGCGGGCTGATGGCGTCTGAGGGGCGCGGTGAGGGGACAGGACCCTCCGGGCGGTCGGGGCGCTTGTTCTCCGCTGCTGTGCGGCTGGGATGGGCTCCTTCAAGGGTGGCGAAAGTTGCTGGGGTTTGTCAGGAATAGCGTATTTTGGGATCTCCGTAATGACGAGTGATGACTTACGGACCCTCTGTAGATAACCCGAATGAGTATTTGCAGCAGTTGCTCGCTTCCAGTTTGTTTCATTAAAGATTTTAATTCAAATATTGAAACAGTAAATGCCACAAGAATAAGCTGAGGGCTCACTAACCACTGAAAAGAGACTGCTGCCTCAGCTTGCTCATGGACGTTACGGGGTCCTTCCTGAACCCTGCCGCTGTGTTGTACCACCCGGTAGAGAAGCACTTTGCAGATTACTAATAAAACCAAAACCAGCCCCCCCTTTAGCATTCAAATAGGAGTTATGCTTTAAACAGTCGGTTTCTCACAGTTTTAAGGACCTTGTGCAAATCAAAGGGTGATTTCTCTTCTTACCAGAGAGAAATTAAAAAGGAAACGAATATGGCCAGCAGCAACAGACCTCCCACAGCTCGTTCTGCTTCAAGAGCAGGAATAGGGCCGACCTCTTCATCGAGGCCTTCGTCTTCATCAAGGACTCCGTCAGCAGGCAGAATAGGAACAGCGGTATGTTAAAAAAATATTAAAAATTAATATGTTATTAATTTTGATCTATTTCGGTTTTTGTCCCCTTTTTTTTCTCTAATCTTTATTCTTTCTTTTAGTAGTACCATGACTAGAATGAGGAGAAGTTATTTTTTCTGAAGAATTTAAGATTTCAGTTTTGTATAAAGTTTTTCTAACCTTGTTTTGAGGGGGTCAGGGACATGCAGCATCCAGAGTTCACCTGGGAGACCTAAATGGCATTAATGTTACAGATAGATGGAACAGTGAACAGCTGCTCAGAGGTAATCCCTTACCTTCTACAGCATATGTTCACTTGAAGTTTTGCTTCCCTGAAGAGATGTAAGTATGAAAAGATTCTTACAGAAAGAGTGTAGGGACTAACTGAAGTTTTAAACTGCTTTGGCAATTGCTTAAGGATAATAAAGTAGTAGTTCAGACTTGGTAGGTTTTTCATTTGTTTTTTTTATAGATGCCTCCTAGTACAGCAAGACCCAGTTCTCGTGGTGGTTCTTTGACTCCTGGAGGAGTTTTATCATCTCAGATTAAAGTTGCAGACCGTCCAGTGACTCAACAGGGGTTAAGTGGAATAAAAACTGCAATGAAAGGTATTTTAAACTTAAAAAAGCCCTCAAGATGTCTGTAAACATTTTGAAAGAATATTTAATTTTTTAAAGAAAAGCTTTTCATCATTGTATAAATTGGAGAGTGAAGAGCAAAAAGAAAGAAAATTTAAAAATCACTCTTTCTGTCATTACTCTTGTCAGCCAAAGAAGATAAGCATTTTTCTATAAATGACCGTCTTTAAAAATAATTCAAAATAATAGAACAAGCTTATTGTATTTTCTTCCGTCACTACAGAATACTTAAAATATTCTGTTATGTAGTAACTATTCATACATTTGTATTAAGTAATGTTTTCTACCTCAAAAGTGGCTTTTTAAAAATTAGATGATAACTATTTAAGAACACTAGAAGATATTTGGTGGAATTTTTTAATGTAAATTTTGCAGATTGTTTTCCTAATTTACAGTTAATCTAAATTAGGTTTTTTTAAACAAAATATTATATTTCTCTCTTTTATCAGGTCCTCAGAGACAGATAATGGACAAAACATACTATCTTGGGATGCTGAGGTATGTCTTAACAGCACATTTAATGGTCTGTTCCCTTTCAGACACAGTGTTGAAGCTTGACAATAGCATGCAATAAGTGGTGTTCACTTAAAATGAATTATAAGAGTGCTGCTCGAAGAGTGACGGTTATTTTGTGTATGAAGAGTGATGGTTATTTTGTGTATAGATATTCTGTAGGAAGAAAGGAAGTAGATTCCCTGGAGGTTTTGTTGTTAGACTTGCAAAGTTAAATGCTCTCTCACAGCTTTTGTAAGGGGAGGGTCAGTGATTCTGAGCTTCCACCTCCAATGTTGTTAAGTCTGATAGCTGCATTTGTAAGAAGTAGCATTGCAAACTAAACATTTTTTTATTGTACATTTCAGATGGTATACTTGGATTATTCAGCTAGTAATGACAAAGGCAAGACCTTGTGCGAACTATTGCATGCATGATTTTATTATGCTCGTATTTTGAATAATTAGTCCTAAAAGATGTCATTTAAATATGGATGTTACCCGTAGTCTGTGAAATTACACTATGTATTTTTTCTTTTCACATCTGTTCTACAAACGAAGACAAAAAGCTAATTAAAACATTTTATTTCATACCAAGGTTTTCCAGCAACTACTTAGGACTTTTTCTGATACGACCATTTTGCTTTTTTCCACACTTACGTCTTCTTAGAAATGCTGAGTTGAAACTAAGTGCAGTGTGAGAGATACCAGTTGCAGATCTCCTACAGTAAAATATATTTACTGTGCTAGCTGTGCTTTAGTTGTACATCCAGATGTTAATGATTCTTTTTTCTTTATTTTTTCAGAAATAAAACAAGTGATCTTAAAACAGAAATTAACAAGCTGCAGGAAGAAGTAGAAATGTACAAGCAAGAGAAATCTGTCTATTTGTCCTATGAAAAACGGTGAGATGTATTGCAGCTAATGCAGTGCTAACTTTCTAAGTCACAAGACTATTTTCAAGTATTGGGCAGGCTTCAAGGAGTCAGTGAATAATTATTTTTTTCATTTTTTAATTTTTACATATACAAATGTTACCATTTGAAGTTTGACTTTTTGTTTCATATTTAGGGCAGAGGCTTTAGCTGGTGAACTGAAAGATCTTCAAGGTCAACTAGCAGACTACAACATGGTATGCTGCTGTCAAATTTTGATACTGAATGCTCCCATTTATTCTCTTGCTTACTTTGCACTGCTTTTGCTTCATTCCGAATAATTTTTTTACATTTTTATGTGAAAATGTTCTGGTTAATGCTGTCTTTATTCAGTTATTGGAAAGGAAAGAAATGGAAATTGAGGAAAACAAAAAGTGTACTTTAAAATCAGGAGAAGCATCTGCATATGGATTTAAGAAATCAGTGCTGTGTACTGTTTCAATGCTTGAACAGCAACAGATAATGATGATTATTTCTGAAAATGACACATGACCTATTCAGATTCCCACATCATGTTTTTTCCATTTGCAATAACCAAAATCTGCTGTGTTTTCATGAACTCTTTGATTTTTTTTTTTTTTTTTAAGAAAAGGAGAGCGTAACAGGTTGGAATTCTGTCTTGTTTCAGGTTGTGGATATACTTAATACCAGTACAGATATAGCAGAAGTGATCCATGATTACAATATGGTAAGAATTAGGATATTTTCTACGCTTTAACAGTGAAATGTTGTGTACTTTCCTGGTGCTTTGAATGTATGACATATCTAAAAAAGCATAGTACTGACTTAAAACTTAGCCATTTTTTTCCAGTTAAATTTTCATAATGTTGGCAACATGTTAGCAGTAAGACAATTCCCTGAAGTCTTGTGTTAAATAGCCCCACAATAGTTTTCCGTGATTTAAATTGGAGAAGGGTATTCCCAACCCAAATTATGAGTGCTGAAGTGTCTTTTTTTTTTTTTTTTTGGGAACACAGAACACTAGTCTTAGGCAGATTTAAGCAGACTTCACTGCCTTATAAAGCTTCCTGGTCTTGTGGACATTGAGTTATCTTTTTTCTTCAGCCTTTTAAATGTCTCCAGTGTAAAATATATTAAATACGTCTCTGACATAGCCACCACAAAATTAAAGAGTTTTGTTCTTCCTTTGCTTTCCTTATTTATTTTCTAACACATCATCTAAGTGTTAAGGCGTGAATGGCATTATTTTATTTCTTATGATCAATTTGTCCATAAACAAAAGAAACCACCTTCAGTAAAGGTTGTTTTGGTGAGTTGAAAAATGCCCTGAACATTTCGTGGTCAAAACAACTGGTTTTTTATCTGCGTGAATTTAATTGAATAATAAAGATACAATGTCTGTGTCATAAAGAGGAGAATTCTTTTCATCCCATCTGTGTAATTTTAAACAGTATATTGCTAAGTTTTATAGGAATAGATCCCACAGAAATAGTAGGTGAATAAATTTCTTTGGAAATATTTGAAAGATGTGTACATGTTGTATGTAGGGATGTTTAATAGTTTAATGGGTTTAATAGTTTAATAGGTTTAATAGTGGACTTGTCAGTGTTAAGTGTTGGACTTGATGATCTTAAGAGGTGTTTTCCAACTTATATGATTCCATGATTTATTGCAAACTTGATTGTTATTTTTTTGGTTTTTTTAAGTTAAAGGTTCAGAATGATCGAGAAGCACAGAGTATAGAAAAAATTTTCACAGAAAGACAAGCGTAAGTACATTGAGTGTATGTTTTTCATCTTTGAATAACTCAACTTCTCATAACTCAGCTTGGGAAAATTGAGGTGTTACCCTAACAGTGCAATGCATATCACTAGTGATACCTGAACAATTTCAAGAACATACATTAGTGCCAGGTTGTAGCTGGAGTTCCTAGTATTAAACTCCAGTTACTTCTCTGAAGATAATTACATGCCATCCAGGAAGAGTTAGATAGCAGTGGAGACTCCTGAATTTGGCAACTTGCTGTCAAGTTTTGGGAGTTTTGTCATGGAGCAGCACAGTGAAGAAAGCAAGTCAGAATGGGAACTAGACCTTTGCCTGGCTAGTAGTAAGGTAGGGTTGTGTAGAGGGAAAGATGAGGTTGGTAACGTGCTTGCAGTAAGAATTTGTAAGCCATCAGAATGGCTTGTCTAGTGATAGGCTCAGAGGGTGAATTTTTGAGATAGTTAATTTAGGCACAAGAGAGGTGCAGGAGAAAACTGTATGATCCTGCTTGTAGCCAGTGAGAGTAATCTCAGCAATGAGATTTTATGTACCAATAAGCACTCCGAAGCAACCAATTTGCTGGTTAATAAAGTCACAACATTGATTTGGAACCAGCTCCCAGTCTAGCAGTGAACTGCTTCAACGTTTTAGAGAAATTGTTTTTCTCATCTAAACCTCTTCACGATGAAAGCATTAATGCTTATGCCAACTTCACCTGCTATTTTGTTAAACAATATGCAATAAACCTCCAATTTAAGTAGCCAAATATATTTTTATAAAAAGTGGATTATGAGTATTTTTGCATGTTTTGAAGTATTTGTTGTGCCAATAATGCATGCATATGACCCCATTTTTAACTTCATGAATGATGCAGCAAAATCTTGTTGTGGATTTGGCAAGATGAATGGAGATAGGCTGCATAACTTCATTCTGTATTGTATGTAATAAAGCATAAAATGGGAGTAGAAGTGTACAACGTTTTTGAAATGTCAATTCAGCATCTGTCATTTAAGACATTAACGCACCTCATTTACATAAATATCTATGTATTTATCCTCAATAAATCCATCTTCATCTCCACATGCATGAACTTTCTCAAATATTACAATGGGTTCTTCACTGCTTGTACCCAATACTGTAGGAGAAGGACTCATGTCAGCTGAGAACTCCTGTTCAAACATCTCTGAGTCATTTTCTTCCAGTCGACGGTGACGGTAGCTGATCAAGTAGTGATACCATGCCGGGCATTTTACAGCAGTAAAAATCAGGAGTGTAGTGCCTAGGACAAACCCTAGGACACCCGCTAGGAAGGTCCAACTTTTGCCAACAAGTGGCAACTCTTAAAAAAGAGGGGAAATATAAAAAGAAGAGTAATCTTCATGAGAATACTAGCAAGAACTCAAGTATAATATTTTTTTTCATAGTTAAATTGAGAACTCACAAAGTAAACATTGATAAGGGGATTACTGTCTCCAGAGCTTTAGTAGAATGTTGTTGCTGTGTTGTTAGGGAGTCAGTAAGATCACAGAGACTAATAGTGTATGTGCATCTCATATTTCATAGCAGTATCAATCTACCTCGCATTTTTATAAAAAATAATTGTTCCAAAGTCTATTTCAAAGATAAAGCTCTGGGGACATATAAAAGATAAAAGTAATAAATACATACTTTTTTTTTTTTTTTCCAAAAGTTAAATTCCAAGATTAGCCTTTGGAAAAATAATCAGTAATTGGGTTCAAATTCTATTTCCCAGGCTTTACTTTTTACATGGTGATAATGCCTGAATCATAAAATATCATGTCTTTTGTTTGGCATATCCTTTCAGTTGTGTCTCTTTTATAATAAAAATTTTAGTAAACTGTAGTTGCCAGTAGTCTCTGTTTAGAATCTGCTTTTGTGTGCTGGCCACTACCTTAAATAAATTATAAGGTGGTACAGCTAAAGATACATGTCACAGTGGTAGCTTATAATTTATGTAGATATCTGTAGATAATTTTCCTGCTTTAGCCAGAAGAAAGAAGTAAAGCATTTTGGGATGGACGAGTTAACTGGCATGTAAGATTAACATTGAAAGGTGAAGAAAGGAGAGGAGACTATCACTGAAATTTACAAAGAATGTGCAGTGGGCACAATCACATCATTTATACTGAACACAGTGAGGATGGGAGTAAAATCTTTAACTTCATGCTATCACATTTTAGGAAGATAATTACATCTAGAAAGGAGTGAGTTTGGAAAAAGCAAATTTTTTTTGAGTGTTACTTCTAGGTCTGTTAGACAGAGATCTAGACAATTATCTGAATTTTAGGCTTTGAAATTTCATCATAATTTTTTAGTATCATTTGAGAATGGTGGGATTTATCTGTTTTGAACACTGAGTAGATCTTAACATTCACTGTAATGTGTGTGACTATCTACCAGAACATGGAAATATGCTTGTTCTGTAGCTCTGGCTTTTATGGAGGAGTCAGAGTGTACTAGGAATGCAAAACAGTATAAAGTCTTGGTACAGCAAATCAAACAGCTCATAAGCAGTAAAGTGAAATGCTTGGGATTACCTGCACGACTTCCATTGTTTCCAGTGCTGTTGTTTGGAGTCAGAGCTGTTATTAAGGCGCTACTTCTAAAATCGACAGCAGGAGTGGAAGTAAATGTGTTTTCAAAAGAAGTCTTTTCAATTTTGCAGTCAGCTGTTTGGATAGCTGCCATCTTGATGGAGACTTCTTCTGTAGTTGACAATGTACATGTAGTGTTGCTCTCATTTTCTGTGAATATGAGCAGTGAAAAGACTATGAAACGCTGGTATTTTTTGGCCCTCTGATCTAAAAAAATCGCATGGATAGCTATTGTATTACTGCATAATGTGGGTAAATTGATGGTGGATTTTATCCACATCAGAAAAAAACGAACAGTGAAGTCATTTGATGTAAAAAAATATGAAATGCTGCTTTTACCAAAACTTACCCAATGTCACATCAGAGGCAGTTGGCCATATCAGTAAGTCAAGGAGGTCACAGGAGCAGATCCATGGGTTTCCAGCTAAAACTATTTTAATTGGTTTAAAAGATGATTTTATATGAAAATACTTCAGAAAATTATACTGTAGATCTAAAACTGTCAGGCTTTCTAGAGGAGTAAATGTATCTGAATCCAGTTGAGCAATCATGTTATAGGATAGATTCAACACTGAGAGTTGATTTAATCCTGCAAATGCTGCTTTATGAACTATGCTAATGCCGTTGTTGCTAATATCCAGAATTACGAGATTTTTCAGATTATAGAAGCTGTTATTTTTCAGTACAGTAATGTTGTTTTCATTCAGATGAAGTTCAGTGAGGTTAATAAAATGTCCAAGAATCTCTTTGTCATGATCTTCTAAAGTGATTTTATTGTTTTTGAGGCTTAATTTAGTAATGTTTTGAAAAAGATTGAGGGAGATATTGAAGAGGTTCTTTCCAGACTCCTCACAAGCAATCTGTTGAAAAAAAAAGCATGACAACAGTTAAATACTGTAGAAAAGTCTACTAATGAAGATATCTCAGTGAGGGCTGTTAAAGGCAAGAGAAAACTGTCTTCTATTTTTTAATGCTGTCACTTTTAAAGAAAAGTTATACTACTGTTCATGAGGTTTTATTTACATCTTTCTTAATTGATTCATGGTCTAGTGATACAGTGGAATGAATCATCCTAGTGTCTATGTTCCAGAACAATTATTGCTGAGCTCTGTGCTTAGATGCATGGGTCTTTATGTGATGGTCAGCCAAAATGTAACCAGTTTCAGTTTGGCTTAACATTTTGGAATTGATATTGGAATTATTTGTTGGGTAAAAAAATAATCCTTTCCTCTATAATCTGGAAAGAAGGTGTCATAGAGAAAGTTTATTCAAGACTGCAAATTAATTCAAATATGCCTACTAAAATGTATTTTTTTAAAAACATCTATTTATTTTTAATTTAAAATAACATTCTTAGAGTTGACCTTCAATGAAACATTTATTATATGTATATTTGCTATAGCACTTCATTTTGTTTTTTTCTGTTAAAGTTTAGCATAGCCTCAGTCTTTTCTGATTTGAGTATTTGCTCTCAATACCTTGAAATGTTTTTGTTTTCTGAAAAGAGTACATTTTTTATATATATAAAGAGGCATTCCTGTTGCTTGGAAGAATTTGAGATACAAAATCATCTCAAATAGGTTTCAGTGTTATTCACCCAGTTAGAATAACTACCATTAGCTAATTGTCCATTACACAGAAAACCACTTACTACTTGCATTTTTGTATTTCTTTCGTCAGAATTTTTATGTTTATGAAAGGGTTTTCGAAGTGCCTTCTGCTTCAAGTGTATCATTCAAAAATAAAGGTAGTTCAGATCAATGTAAAACTTACAGTTTGGGAAGTAATGTTGCAGTCAGCAGTGACTGGATTCAAAAACATTGTTCCAGCCGAGATCACAAGCCAATAGAATTTCATGTTTGGAACCTAGTAAAAAACAATACTTTTGCATATCAAGACCAGAATTACCGGTCTCTTCTGTAGTGGTAGTTTAACAACTTAGTAGATACAGTTACTTCAATGATAGTTTAATAAATTTTGTTCTACATAAATACTTTGTAATGTAAAATTAGGTGAAACAACAGGAGTTATCAGAATTAATGAATTTAGCTTTCACTTAATTGAGCCAAACCTAAAATCTGGTGTGCAGACTGTATCAGCAAATAGAAAAGGGATTAGTTAGACAAGCTGATAAAGAAAAGTATCATACATGTATAAAACAGATAGGCAGGGCTATACTCATTAATATCCCTGTTAAAGTAATTATGGGTACTGGAAGACTATCATTGGAGTAGACTGCAGAAAATATTGATGTTTGCATGTTCTCCCTATACAATTTCTCTTGTTCCTCTGACAGAGTACTCTACTAGACAATTGTTGGTTTGTCCAGTCAGATTTCTTTTATGTTCTTATGTAAGTTACTAAGCATTTTTGTGACTTTTTAATTAGAAGACCAATGTTTTTAATCTCTTTATTGTCCATAATATAACCTATACTAGCACATATACCTGGACTTGTCTACTATGAAGGTACAGTTGTTGCTCTTTGGAGCTAAGTAAACATGGTTCAATCTCTAGGGATGGAGTTTTCCTACAGATTCAAGCCTTATTATTTGAAAGTTGGAAAGGTCCTACAAATGGTATTTACTGTGACAACACCTCTCAGAGAAACAGTCTGTCAGTCATTGCCTTTGAATCAGGCACTATTTGCAGCATCTGTTCATTTTGAGCAGAAATGTTATACCATGTTTGTGAGATGTTGAGCTAGTCCCTGTTTATGCCACACTTGAATGACAAAGTGTAAAAGGTAATGAACCTTTAATTTTCCCAGTTTTTCTTAAGCATCTGACCTCATTCACCTAACTGAATCAGCCTGGAAATTTTATAACTTCTTGGAAAGAAGAGGAAGAAAAATGCCACTTACAGTGCTCTGATCCACTGTGTGTTTCTGCTTCTGTCAGAAACTTATATTGAATACAAAAAGAGTTCATGAACCTTTTGCCATTTAGTCATTATCCGTCACAGGGACAAGGAGTGCTAGCAGCAGCAGCAGCCTCTGTGGGATTATGTTCTGTATTGGGTTTTGTACTTATCGGTGTTACTTCTGACCTGCATATTTTTTTAGCCAGTTTGTGTATTGTTAGTGGAAGACATGATGCTCTTTGAGAACTCCCAAAATGACCATTTTAACATCTGGATCTTGCAGCGTATTTGGACTTTAAAGATACAGCTTCCTAGATGTTCAGAAACAGAGCAGGTCTTAACCTGGCAATTTATAAATGTAGATTAATAGTATTATTGTAGTTTTCAAATTACAAAACAAGAACTGTCTTAGAATGGGAAAATATATTAAATATTGGTTTTAATGTTAATCAGTAAGTTAATAACAACTAAGTTGTTATTAAAACATAAAATTTAAGTTGTACGTGTATCTAAGTCCAAAACATAACTCGTAGCTCTTTATTAGTTTCTGCTGAAAACCTAGGGATTTCTTACAGATGTAACTGCCTGCATTTTGTGTGTGTGAACCTGTAAAATCAGTAAAAGAACAGGAAAGCATCTGTAATTTTCGTTGCAGTTTAGCATTTTACTAGAACCAGCTTTCATGAGCTGCTTTTTAAATTAACTGTTTTGGAAAGAGACTTAGCCTGGCAATGCACTGGCAATACAGTGGCAATACATTGGTAATACTTTGATACTTCCTTCTAATTAGAAGTGCTTTCTTTAAAAATTCCATCTGAGAACTTTTAAAATTATATCATTTTAAAATAATGTAATGATTTTTGTTTTTCTGAGGAGGTAATTGGGTTTATATAACCAGCCTGGTTTTCAGAGTCTGCTCCCCAGCTTTCTAATGGAGTAGAATTTACTTAACAACTCAGCATGTCCAAGGTTCATACTAATTCCTGAAATTTTAATGTACCTTGAGATGTGTTTGCTTTCAGTCTAGCAACAAAGTTACAGTAATAAATCTTTGCCTGCATTTTAAATTAGACATGCCAAGTGTCTTACCTTTCTGTTGCTTCTTAGAGGTATCATATGTACACATGTGTAGATTTTTCAGTGCACTGACAAGAAATAACATGGTGAAACAGCACTTTGTTTTTCTTCAACCTTTGTACCTGATGAATAACCAGGCAGTGTAAAAAAATAATAAACCTAGAAAATCCTTAGCAAAAGATTGACTAAGTTGAGCAACTTCTTATAATCATCTTGGATTTAATTGGATCAGCAGCCAATAGGAAAGTCTAATTGTAATATGCTGAAGTGTCAAGTTCCAGATCATAGAGGAAGCAGTGAGTTTAAATGCCAGAGGTGATTTACAAGCAAGTTGAGTTATAATCAATTAAAGAAATACTGGAGACCGAAAAAGACTTGCATTTTTAATTTAATTGTTCATTGCATAAAGGAAATGTCAGGATATTTGCATACTGAAGTAAAGCTTCCTAGTAGCTAGTTAACTCTGTGTTAATGCTTGTGTTTCAGAAACGTCATTGTCAGAGGAGCTGCAGGGTGATACATAAAGCTCATTATTTGCAAAGAATTTAACGCACTGTAAGGATGTCTGTAATAAGGCCTGTATTTCAGGAAGAAGTTCTAAAAACAAATCATACTTGCTCAGCTCTGCAGTGAATGTCTATGTGCAGGCTTAAAAAAAGGGATTATATTGATATACAAGTGCTGTGTCCTATAATTTTTTACTTCCATTAGTGCTCATTCTGTTCAATGCATACCACCAAACTACAGAACAGTTCATCTCCTTTCCTTCTCCATTCCTCTCTAATATGTGGCTGTATAAATTTTTTACTTCACTATGGCTTTGTTGGTTTTGGCACTTTTGTTTTGCCTAATATCTAAAAGCATTCCACAATTTTTCCAAACCTCATCCCAGATTCAGCTTCATCCATAGTGTTCAAACTACTTGTGGTAATGGATTGTGTTTCTATGACAGCCATTGCTGATTTTTTAATTGCCTCTTGAAAAATTGCTAAGTTGCAGCTTCTCCTCAGAAGATTTCTGCCATAAAGATGCATCACAGTAAGTCAGACATTTCTAGTCTTAAGGACATGCCAGATCATCTTGAAGTATTTAGCCAGGAGTCCATATGATGTAAGAAAGGGGAATTGCTTCATGTCAAAAGGCTACTCTCTTATGTGTCCACACACACTTTAAATAGAGGGAGTGGAAAAGTCGGTTACTTTCTTTGTCTTGCGTTGCATACTTTAAATCTCAGGCATAGAGATTTAAAGAGAAATAGAGAGAAATCCCATAGAGCTTGGAGACACACTGCCCTCAAGAGTGGTATTGCTATACACGTAGCAAACTGTATTCTCACTGTTTTGAAGGTTCCGGTGATCTCCAGGAGAGGCACCATGCTTGTATGTAAATACAAGCTCCTTCTAAGCCATGCTGTGGTGTCTCCAGGAGAATTACAATTAGAGTAGAGATTTCTTCTGAAAATCAGCACCCTTAGCATTTTGTTGAATTTTTTACTGCACCTTCTCTGTTTTCTTTCTTCTGTGTTTGCACTTGGGTTTGATCTGAAAGAAACTGTCACTGCTGAGACTTTGCAACAGCATTCATAGGCCTTCACTGAGGCATGAGGAGCATTCAGTAAAGAAGTAACACAAAAGCTCCTGACAGCTCCTAGCTCCATGCCTTCCAAAAGGTCTTGGTTCAAACTACTCTTGTATCTTAAAAACTAGCTCCTTTTTCAATTACCGCATGTAACAGAATTAACCACTTATAAACTGGTGCACTTGCACTTGTGAGGGCCTCATGTTTGGACTGGGTCTGAATAAATTAGTTTTAGTCTCAAGTGGGTATTAAATTTAATGTCATATTACAATCATCCAGTATTATGCAGTCCCAGTGGACTCCAAATTTACCATAGTAAGGGGGAGATCATAACTTTGATTTGTTTCATCATCATCAGGTCCAAAGCATTTTTGCGGCATGGTCGGCTAACCTGACAGAATTTCTACATAATATCTTCAGTTTCATGGAGATTACAAATATTTCTTGGAAGCTGGTTGGAAGTGCTTACATTTTTGGTACTCTTTTGAGAATTCATTGTAAGTGATGAAAACTGTGGGGAAAGGCTTGGGAACTGGCATTGTTTAATCTCCAGGAGAGAGGCTTAGTGGGTATTTTATGAAAGTAAATACCTGATGGCCAGGGGTTAAGAACATGGAACTGCTGTCAGTAATGCCTAAGAGCAAGATGAAAGACAATGACCACATATTGGAGAACAGGAAAGTCCATTTAAATACCAGGAAAAACTCTTCCATTTGTAAGAATGAACAAACATCAAAGCATTGCCTAAACTGGTTGTGGTGAATCCGTCCTTCAAGATACTGCAAACCTGAAAAAGACACTGACACATTCTGCTCTAGGTGACTGTGCTTCCAGTAGTACACAGGTTGGACTGACAACCTTCAGAAGTCCATTCCAATATTAACTCTACTCTGCTTCTACAATATTTTAATTTTTTCCTTACCCTGAAATTATCATTGTGCAGTTCCATTGTTTGCACCATCTCTTAAACTTGAGGGCATTTTTTTCTACAGTCTTTGATCCAGTAGTGTCAGTTACACAATTTACAACTTGTCATCTTGCAGCTCAGGAAAGGTTAATGAAAAAGAGAAGAATCCTGAAGGAAGGTGTTTGGCTCATTTTCTCATTCTTAACAGGAGAAACCACTCTGGAAACAAGCAAACTGTTTAAGCAATCTTTCATGAACAGTGAAAGGAACTAAGGTATACCCTTCAGGGTCTCAGGGATGTTTTTGGTTTTTTGGTTTTTTTTTAAAATTTCCTTTAAATATGTTCTCAAGGTGATTTCTGACTTTCAGGAATTTCATAGAAATTACTAGGCTTATTATAAAACAGCTCATTGTAGCTGGAATGGTAAAGTTTTTATATTTGCAAACTATCAGTTTCCTAACAGGATTAAAGTCCTCAATCAAGAATGTAAAAAATGCCTGATTTCTTAGTTATTGCATAGCTAAACAGCTACACTGCTCAGACCTCTGAAATCACTCTTCGTTCTAAAGTAATCAGCAAATTCTTCACGAAGGTTACTCTGTTCATCATCATCGTCTGATGCTGTCAAGTCCTGATATCTTTTTATTTTCTTAATGTGCATTCACAAGTTGTATATCAGCTTCCTTATTTCAAACTGCCTATTTTTACTCCAGAAATTCACAGATTGAGAGGGAGTGCCATACTTTTGCCAGTGTTGAGACCAATGCACATAGACAGTGTGGGAGTGTTGGAAAACACCGTGTGGGTATTATAAAGGCAGTGAATTCTTCATCTTCTCTACATTTTGTGAATGTTTGTGTAGCTAATTCAGTTCCAAGAAGATTAGGTACAAGTTGGTAACACGTTTTTATAGACTAGGCTTTTTGTATTACACTGAGTACTTCAGTGAGGCTGAAAGAATACTGGAGTTTGAAATGAGTGCTTGCAATATGTATTAACCAGTAAAAGTTACAAAAACATTCTGTTTTTACAGCACAGAAAAGTTATATCAAGCTGTAGAAGAAGATATCAATCATGAAAAGGTTTTGGCAGATGACATATTGAAAGATATGTCACAGGAAAATCAAGCTAAATATATGGAGATGAAAGCTACTAATGAAAAACTCTCCCAGGTTGGCTTGTTTCATTATTCTTACCTAAAATATTTCTTAAACTGGCTTCATTTGGTTTAGATAAAATTTAAGTAGTAAAGAGCTTAACAACAGAGTAATGCAATTAAGAAAGCTTGCTGGTATTTTAATCAATTGTAGAAGTACTTGAAAATAGATCAATTGACTTAGACCAAATACTTTTCCTTCTTATATTTCATACTTTAGGAAGAAATAATGTTCACAATTTTCTGTGAAAATTTAGGGTTTGACCTGCAGTTTTTAAAAGCCTCTGCAATACTTAGATGTTTCATCATATGTAAAAAGCAAGCAAAAAGGAAAAACAACCCCAGCAATTTTTGCAGTTCACTTGAGTAGAAAGTTTTCTTCTTGTGTACAATAGCGAATCTGACTAGTTTTTTCTATTCTTATTAGTATTATTATTATTATTATTATTATTATTATTATTATTATTATTATTATTATTGTATGTCTGAATGTATCAGAGAGAGTGAGCTGGGCTTTATGAAATGTTTGTTACTTTACTAATCCTTATGTTAATAACAGGAGTAACATTTCTAGGCTCTCTGGGACGATCTTGTTCAAGCCATACAGTCTTAAAAGTTTCTATGTATAGTCTGTAGAGAGATGAGTTCAGTGTTTCCCATCTGTCTTAGAATGAGCTGAATCAGTAGTCAGGGCTTATCTGTATTTTTCTGGACTATGAAGAAATTGTCATCGCTGGTTCAGATTTTAAAATTTGACTCTAAACTTCTGAAGTACAGATAATAAGTTCTACCCGCGGTACGGATTTTAAGAAAAAAACAGTAGAAAAAGGGAAAACAATTTTTTGGTAGTAGCCTTACTGCAAATAATAATGATAAGAGTAATGGAAAAGCTGGATGCTGAAAGCAAGTGTTTACTACATCTGAGTCATGTGAAGGAGCTGGACAGAATCTTGCCTTTCAAATTTTTAAGAGCAGGAATGGGAGGATATACAGCATTTGACACATACTAAGGTTTAGAGCAAAAAAGTAGTTAATCAAGTAGTAATTTTTATCTGAATTTTGCATTTTGTTTCCTCTTTAGGAATTGATTGTTCAACAGCAGGAATTGGATGCACTAAATGTAAAGGAAGAGAGTCTAAGAGCTGTATGTATGATAACAAGTGGTCTCTGTACTAACTTTCCCTGAACACTACTGTAAAGAATAATAGAGTAGAAAAATACCTATAATTTATTTTCTTTATGTTTTCAGATACTGTAGGATCATGCTCCTAGTATGGGATGGCAAACCTGTCTCTCTGTTTTCTGATAATAACTTCTAATTAGTTTTGGGCAAAAATGTCTTCTTGAGGAGAGTATTTTCATATTGGGTCTTTCATGAATAAAAGGCTCTATGAGCTGAAGCATACAGTCAGAAAGTATAGTTTTCAAGTACTGCTAGATATTTTTCAGTCGTTTTGAATGTTGCATATAGGTTGAAATCCCCTAGAAATTGTGAAGTAATAAATCTAGAAAATTGGCCCAAGGAAGAACTTGTAAATCAAGAAGTAACTGATTGGGATATTCTATTCCAGAAAATGTAATCTTGACAATATGGATTATAAATGTTACTTTTTATAAAGTGCTGTTTACTGTCTCTTTGCTTTTTGTAAGAAATAAGCTTCACTTACTATGTATATGTAAGTGTTGCTTAATTAAAGCATGATTGCCACAGTGCTCTCTTCCCATCTGAAAATAGCTAGTAGGTGTTTGCTTTTCCCATCAGGAAATAGTACAATCTGGGATGAAACAGAGAGCTGTGCAGTTGTATGAGGAGATCCATGAGCTCAAGGAACGTCGAGATCGAATGATTGCTGAGGATAAGAATATGGAGTCTCCACAGGAGGAAAGAGAGAGACTTCTAAAGCAGGCAAGAATAGAAAATGTTGTTATATAAAAGATTCTCCAAATCAGTATTATTAGGGGTGATAATACTTGAAAATAGTTCAGTTTGAACTTTGCCTTTATTTGTGCTCTAGGCAATGCAAATGATCTGACATTAAAAATAATTAATGAATTGGTTGAGCAGGTTGAGCCAAAACTTGGAGACGTGTTGTAGTGGGTTCAGAGGAGAGCTGTGAAAGTAATTCCAGGGCAGGAGCACTTCTTCTATGCAGACGGGATGAGAGAGTTGAAGCTGTTCATCCTGAAGAAGAGAAACCTCTGGAGAGACCCTATAGCAAAGTCCAGTACCTAAAGAGGGCTAATAAAAAAGAGAGTGAGTGACTTTTTTACACAGGCAGAAAATGATAGAGTGGGGGAAACTGTTAAATGAAAAGACAGGAGACTTAGACTAGATGTTAGGAAGAAATTCTTTACTGTGAGGGTGGTGAGGCACTGGAACATGTGGATGTCTGTAGTGGTTTCGGTTTTTAATCTGAAATTTCTTGGCTAATGTATTAATTGATGTTGAGGATTTTAGCATCAGCTAAATTGGCAGTGTACTTACTAGAATTATTTACTTATTTTTTGCTGTGAGATAGAACTAGGAGGAAGGCAAAACAGGCTTAACTTTAAATGATACAAAGAAAAACTTTATGACTAGAAACTTTAAGAAAAAAGAATAAAATTTAGAATAAAACTTTCAGAACACTTCTCCTCCTCCTTCCACTTTTCTTTAAAAAAAATATTAAAAGAATTTTGAAAAATCTTTACAAACCACCACAGTGTCCCATCCCTGGAAGTGTTCAAGGCCAGATTTGATGGGGGCCCTGAGCAACCTGATCGAGTGGATGGCATCCCTGTGCATGGCAGGGCTGGGGAGTAGGGCAGAGGGTGAGCTGGAAACAGATGATCTTAAAGTCCCTTCTAACCCAAACTGTTCTATTATTTTAAGAAAACAAAATTGGCGCAGTGAGGTTTCCAGCTGGTTTACTTGCTCCTATTCATGAGCCATGTTGGTTGGAAAAACTGATCCAGTTGAACAGCGCTTGTAACCTAATTCCAAAGAGTATCCTTGTGGGGTACTGAACAGGTGTACTAGTCCAGGAGTAATTGTTTCAGTTTACAATGGCCTACACTGTAACTAGCCATTTATACTTTATAGATTATTGATCTGAATGACCAATAGTAAGTGTGTTTGATTTTTTAAAGCATGATTTTTAATTATTTGGAAGACATAACACTTAAATCATATCACTTCTTGTTGGACTATGTCACAAATTTGTGGCTTCACGTGCTAAGTTTCTATTGCCTGTATTTTGAATTCAGATTTTTTAAAAATTTTCCTTTTTTCATTTGTAGATTCAATTTTGTATGTTAAAGTTGTTGAACTTTTTTATAGGTTAAAGACGATAGTCAAAAAATTGCAAGCATGGAAAGACAGTGAGTAACCCTCTTAAACTGCTGTTATAAGTTACTTGTACACCCTAAAGAAACATAGTTGTGTTCCTTCGCAAAGTCTATTTCTATAGACTTTTAGAACATCACCACATTTTCAAACCTGTATTAGTCTTAAGCTTTTACAGAGAATAGAGTATGTTCTTCTGTTTCGGATAAACAAGTTTTATAGTGTTAAGACATCTAGATCTGCATAATAAGATACTTCCATCCCTTATGAACACACCTTGAGAATATAAATTGGTAATAGCACTGACTTAAATTTGTTTAAGGCTGAAGAAAACATTGATTTGTAAGAGCTGCTCCTCTGTGACAGCTATGAAATTGAACTTGCATTACACTGCAGTCATATTTTTAAGTTTGTTTATGTATTCTTAAAACCTAAGAGTTACAGAAGTTCCATTTTAAAGAGTAGAATGGCATTGCTTCTTGATTCTTGGGCACTGGGCATTTCTGAAGACTACCCAGAAAGACAAGTAAATTTTATAATAAATAGTAATGTACTGAGGGGTAGATAAAACAATATCTTCTGGTTTTGAGCCTTTCGATTTCTCTTTCTTGAAAGAAAAATGGAGATAATTTATAAAATCTCAGAGAAACAATTTCCAATTCTTTTAAGCAATATTCCCAACTATAATTATTGATTAATTTTTAATGTATTTTAATTGGATAATAAGTTGCTTTACAGAATTTTTAATAGATAACAATAACAAAGAATTATTTTTGAGATTTTATATAGAAATGTATTAAAGGTAGTTTCATTTCACACTTTGATTAATTATGTAGCAGAATGTTTTATTTGGGAATTTCTTAGTGGATTTTACTTAATACAATTTAAGGAATACAGTTATTGAAGTTTAACAATTATCTTGTACCTCTCCAAAGCTGAATAACAACCAGCAGAGGGACTAGTTGAGTAATTTAAGAATTACTGATGACTCAACAAATATTGTTTTTTAATGAAAAGGATTTACAGAACTTATATTAAATAAACAGAGGAATAAAGTGACAGATTATTAACATATACCTTTTATAATAACAAGAGTTGTCCTGGTATTCTTTTGGGTTTGATAAATTTATATTTTCTATTTTCATTCTTGACTTCTCTCACCAGTTTTGGCTAAAATAAAGTATTTTGCACCACAGTTTTAAACTTGACTTTCGTTATCTATTTGTTAGGTTGGCAGAAGTGAAAGAAAAAACAGATTATTTTAAAAAGGTCATTCAACGACTTGATATGGATCTGGAGAGCAATCGAGGTAATGTGATCAGAGTTGTAGGAGACTATGCAGAGCTATGTCTGTTTGTTCTATAAAAAGCTGTTCTACCTATGAGTTGCTTAAAAGTTTTAGGCTTATGCAAACATCCAGTACTCATCAGCATGAGAAGTTCTGTGCCTACAGGTACAGCCTTTTCAGACATAATAAATGGGGAGTAGCCACCTTTAGTGGTGGGTATACATTCGACAAATTCATATTGAGAATTACCATATAAAACAATAGGACAGCTGTCTGGTTTTCTATCCAATTTTATTTTTAATATTATTTGAGGAATAGAAGTTTATCTTACTGGAAGCACTGCAGAACAAGCTCATATTTAGAAATGCTTTCATTAATTTTACCATTTACATGATCTGTTACACTGTCAGCAAACATGAAATTGACTGCTTTATTAGCTTTGTGTTTCCAGATAATATAATTACAAATTTTATTATTCCTTTTTTTCCTTTTTGTTTGGCTTGCAACTATTTTTTATTTTAACTTTGGAGAAATACAGAAGGTAAGAAGCAAGTTGCTTTTTACATTTTATAGTTGGTAAGAAGCGAGTTGCTTTTCACATTTTATAGCTCAGTGTACACACACAATCATTTGTTGCTGACTGTGTCTTTTTGAAGCATATGTAGGAGAAAGCACATGCTCTCTTTCAGCATATCAGTACCAGTCAAAATATTCAGAATCAAGTTACTTTGTGGTATTATGCAGAAGGAATTATACCTCTTTGTGTAACACAGGGAATAAAGATATTCATAAAGAGTCGCTTTAGGACATATAAATGTAAACTCCCAATTCTGCCTTCTCTAGGGAATGGAGAGAGAATCACAGAGGGCCATTCATACTTCTGCTCTAAATCAGCATCTTGATGTGTCCTTGAAATTCCTGTGCACTCTCCCTCCCCAGTGACTTTGCTTCTGCATCAGTATTTAAATGTTATTACATAGTATTCCCAAAAGTCAGCTCTAAAGTTTTTAATGTAAATATCAGATGAAATAGCCAGTAAAAAAAAAGAAGATAAAAGAAATTTTAACTAATAATTTCGTAGTATTTTAGGATAAATATTTAGAAATACTTCTGAGGAGGAAAAGGACTAAACAGACCACACTGAAATGACTATTTCTAGGTTTTGCCTGAAAAAACCTAAATACGTAAATAATTCACCCACTTATTACATGGTCTATATACTAGCAGTTAACTTTAATGATTAGTCAAAGTCAGCATTAACTCATCATGCAACAAACTTAACCCTTCATACATTGAAGGAGAGGTTAAGATATTTGTGTATTGATGGCGCATTTTAAAGAAAACTTACTGCAAAGGCGTCTCAAAGTTGTGGTCTTCAGATAGTTTTTTCTATAAGCACTTGACAGATCATGTAACTCTGTTTCATGGTTCACCATTACTAGAATTTTTAGGAGTAGAACAGACTAACTTATAAACTATTGGAGCCTTGTCTTGGAAAATTATAGAGAGAGTCCAGCAAGGAACAAAGCCACAGCTGGGAGGAAGCTGAAGCAGAATCAAAGTCCCTGAGGGCCCCTCAGGTGTTCTTATCCTTTTTATATTCTAGATAAAAAGGAAAACATGGGGGTGCACAAGTAAAAAGTCCTAGAGAAATTTGCTTGCTCAGTTTTATCTGTACCTATTTGATTCTTTTACTTTGTATCCTTTAAAATTTAAAAAATAAGTTAAAGCAGACTCAATAAAAATTTAGGTGTTTGAAACTAAAAATTATTTCAAGTTACTGTCTAATCTTCTTGTTACAAGTATATCAGCTGTCCCACCTTACTAATACATATAAATTATAAGTTATTTGTAATCATTAGTTGAAATTAAAAAGAGGGTGAATATGTATGTTTTTCCTTATTTCTAATACCACTATACTGAAGGTGTATGGAAATATTCCTTCAGACCTAAGTGTAGAAAGCTTTCTGTGCATTTCATTTTTCTAGACCATTGCTTGCACAGATCTCCTACTTATTTATGTGAGATTATCAGTTTCTTGCAAGCTGCGTGTCTTTATGACAGTCCATTGTAATAGGTGAAAGTGCCATTTAAGTGGTTCATATATAAAACATATATTAAGGGCTGAAGAAAGTTTTAACTGGTGGTGCCCAAATACACATTAGCATTTGTTCTCTATTGTTGAAATTCACATGACTTCAGAAAAACTCTATGAACTTCCTTTGTCCAAACCAAGTAGTTATCCCACTCCTATCTATCAGAAATCATAACCCCAGAAGGTTGTCAAAATTTCATTGAGGCTGATTTTTTAAAGCTATCTTCTTTTTTAATATAAAAATGCGTATGACATAGTTGGAATGACTACATTAAATGAAATAGGATGAATCTTGTAGTTCCTAGGCATGTAGAAATTTTATTTTTGAAACAGACAGTTTGCCTTCCTGAAGGAATCCAGGCCTGAGACAATATGAAACAATATTTAAATCAGTATTATATCTCTTGTAGGAGAAGAAAATTGGAAATACAAGGAGTTGAAGAAGAAGGAAGAAAGCATGGACAGTAAGTTGTCGAATATTATTTAACTTAATATTTTTTATATATATTGGCCTAATTTCACTAAATTACAGGTTTTGTTTTATTATTACAACAGTTAATTTATACCGGCAAATAATTGATGTGCTGATCTTTGCATAAAGTTCTGCAGTCTTTTTCTGTGGACAAGATAATTGGTATCTTACAGGACAGTCACAAATATTCGGAGTGTTTTTCAAGGCTTTTCATCAACCATTGTCTTAGAAGCACAGCTTCATTTTATGAAAGCAAAGCTGTAATTAACTGATTTAGTGATTAAAAGCAGAACCTCACAATGGAAGACTGTAGATAAAATGTAATTCTTTAAAATTAGGGCTTCTCATATCTATTATTTACTGAAGATGAATGTTGCTAAAGCTTTGTTACGTCTCTAAAAGTTTTAATGTTGTAGAGACTTTAATAGCATCTAACAGGATGAAAACAACTGGGTTTAAGTATATCTTATTCCTTGTATACTGTAGGAGCTTAAAAAAAAAGCTGATCTGTTACTCATTAAAAGGGAAAATGGTCAGTAAACATGCCATTGTGGTTCAAGGGATATAATACCTTTTTTTGAGTGTTCTCTAAAAATGTTCTATATAATTTATGGGTAACATGATACTGAAAGAGAGGTCTCAGCTGATAATAAAGGAGGATGAGTAAGACAAAATCCAGGGAGTTTCTGTGTTTTCAAATTACCAGGTTTCCTGAGAAGCAAAAAGACAAAAGCTCACTTGATCTGGATTTTCAGTATTAGTACAGATGGTGTCCAGAGGGCTTTACTTTTTGAGTTTTGGTTCTTCTTCTACTCTTTGTTAAAGGTTATTGATACAGTTCCAGACCAGTTAGTGATTTGGGGTCTGAGAGTTTTGGGGGAACATGCCAGGAGTCTTAAGCATGGGATAAAACAGAAAAAGCAAATATGCAAATATGGTGCCTATGTAGAAGAAGAGGGGACAAGGAAATACAGGCCAGTCAGATTAGTATGTTTCCAGAAATAATTTGGGAAAACTGTGCAAGCAAACAATACATAAATATTGCAGGCACAGGAATATGAATAACACTGGTATTGATCTGACAAGTACAAACAACTTTTTTTCCTTTTTTGTATCAGAAAAATACTGTAGAAGAAGGAAGTTGTAGCAGATAATGTGTACTTTAACTTCAGTAGAACTTCTGCTGTCTTGTGGTGTTTTTAGAAGCAAGCTAGGCAAATGTTGTCCATTATTAACCTATATTGTGCATTAAGTTAAAAAATCAGTTGTGAAAGATTCAATGCCAAAATGAAAGGAAGTATTGCATGGAGTTTTGCAGTGTGCTGGATTTTCAGGTTAGTCAGTATTTTCTTAATGAGTTGGATGATGGGAGAGATCATCTGACAGAACAGCTACAGAAAATGGTCCATCAGAAAAGCTGAAATCATGTTGGAGGATTTGGTTAGAATTTAGTATACTTCTGTTATGTTAGAAATTAATTACAAAAAAGTTTGGAAAGGGCTAAGTGTAAGTCTTTACACTTGTCTAGTGTAATCAACAGCAAAAATGCAGAGTAGGGAGCAGTTCATTAGGTACGGCTCTGTGGTATGGCTCAGAGAGTGAAAAACAAAGTGAACATGGTTGAGCAGTATCAGACTAACAAGGAAAACACCACAACCGTAGGTGTACATTGGAGTGAAATTTGTTAGACATTTGAAGTAATCTTTTTCCCTGTGCATCAAATTCTTCAGATGGGAGTATTGCCTCTAGTTCTGCACATAAAGAAGGGGGCTGTCAGTCCTGAAGAAAACTGATAGGGATATGCAGAAAGCACAACCTGCAAGAAAATATAAAAGAATGAGTCTTTTATTTTAGAAAATTTATGACAGTTGTCAAATGTGTAAAAAGGCTGTTTCAAATAATAATGGAATAATTTATTTTTGCGTATGCTTGAGGGATAGAAGAGAAGTTATATACCACTAGCTGCAGAAAGATTTCAGGTTGGATATTAGTAAAAACTTCCTAAAAATAAAACTTACCAAGCATTGAAATAGATTGTTCAGGGAAATTATAGACTCTCTATCAGGAGCTGTGTGTGTGAAGAATATGCACAAACATCTGAATTACTGACTTAGAGCTGGTTTTGTCCTGGAGCTAGTGAATTAATTAGATGAGTTCTTTCACTTTCTTGCATTCAAGAGTTTTTCTCAATCTGTGAAATACACAGCATTAAATTGAAACAAGGTAAATCGGACCAGTGTGATGAAAAAGAAAATTGCTTGCAAAAAAGCAATGTGATGAGATGTAAATACGGACCTTGCTTAATGTTTTTAAATAAATTCAAATGTTTGAAACCAAAAAACCATAAAAAGTCCAGAATTACGAAGGATAAAAACACTAGTCAAATCATATAGCTAGTTTCCTGGGGTCCTAATTTCACCGTTGCAGGCTAAGTTTTATAGAATTGCATACATATCTGTGATTGTTATGTATGTTAGTTTCATTGTTCATATTTTTAAATGTGTGAAAATGCTTTTCTGTCATTGTCGAATCCTTCTTGCCCAAACAAGGACTTTTCCCGTTTCTATCCATATAGAAAGTGTTCAAATCCTTATGGTTCCCGAGTGTTCCTGTATGTATAAGCCATGTTTCAGCAGGAGACCCAGCAGGAAAGAAATTATTGTGACTTAGAGCTCCAGGCGGGATCTTGCTGGGCTTCTAACCTCTGTGTGATGTGTCCAACATGTTTTATTATAGAATGTCTGTGTCACCAGAAATACAGTGTTGTATTCGTAGAACCCAGATACAGAGTACCTACCACCATTACAACTGTGTTGTCAGATTCAGTTGGACAGTTACTAAAATGAACATAAATTAGACATGTAGCTGAGGGACATCACACAGAAGGGAAGAGTGATACCAGGTCTCACGTCTTTTGCAGTGTTTGGCATTTGGTTTGGGCCATTAGAGATAATACAGTTACCTGTTTCCTTTATTTAGTAGCCCGTTTTGATAGCTTTCAGAAAAATAGAGACCAAAAACTGCTGGGAGAAGCATTTAGAAAAGCATCAGAAATAGTGGGGAATGAAATTTTTTTCCTATTGGGTGGCAACTCACACCTAAACACTGTACAAGAAGGTGGTGGCCTCATGTATGTGTCAGTGGAAGAATTCTTCTCATTTTCATTCCAACCCATAAGTTCACAAGTTTCAAGGTCTCTACTACCCGGCTTAAATAAACAATTAAAGTAACCTATCCGAAACTGTACTGTTTGGCAATTTAATACAAAGTTTTGACTGGAAACAACATTGCAACCGTATAAGAGCCTTATTTTTCATATTTTTTAATCTCTAGATTTTCTAGAGACTTTTGAAGATGTGAAAAATCAGGAATTGGAACGAAAGGCACAATTAGAAGCCAACATTGTTGCACTCCTGGAACACTCGAGCAGGGTAAGGATGTAGCAGTGTTTCCATCCTCCTTCCCTAAGCTAGGACTTTAGACACACAGAAAGGAAGAGTGGTTGGATAAAGAAGGATGATGGATTTTATATTTTTACATTTACCTACATAATAGATTCTTAAAATGATTAAAGATTAAACCATGTACAGCTGTAGCTTAAAAAAGGATTCATTTAATTTCTCTGTTTTTCTGGGGGAAGAGTTTTGACGATATTGTGACCAGAACAAAGAAATATCTTCATAGGTTCTATAACACTTCATCTCTGCTATAACTAACATTAATAAGGATAAACATTGCCAAATACTGCAAAGAAACCTACTGCAATATTTTGTTTATCCATTTGCAAATCTCAGTTCATGGTATTCTGTCTCTAGTATTACTGAACTAAAAATATTCCACTTGTCCCTCTGATTTCCTAAAAGCATGTCTGAAATACCCTGATGCATAATATTTAATGTAAATATTATAAATGAATAATGTAACAGTTCAGAAACTGTTCCCATTTGCAGTCTGCAAATTTTTTTCACTTTCAAGGCTTCTATTCTTTTATTGTTTTTGACTTCCATGAATTATGTTATAGAAAACTTTTATCTGAGTAATATTTTGATTCTATGATTATTTTAATTGTCTCCTACCTTTCTCAATATAGTACAACATAAGGTATATTTTAGGCACTGTAACTTACTTTGCAACAGACTTATATGGCAGCAGTTTATATTTGCTGCATTTTTATTTGATCTGTGCTGACCTGTCAATACTTCTCTTACCAGAAGCTGGCAGAAAGAGTCATTCACATTTAAATCACTCAAGTAACAGTGTCATAAGACAGGACGGTTTCTTACTTGTCGAGTTAACAGTTGTTTCAAAAATACAGCATGTTCTTATCATTATTGTTGGTAACACACAGAATCTGAATCATATGAAACAAATTTCATCTGTTACCAATCAAGAGCTGAAGATCATGCAGGAAGACCTCACTTTCAAATCAGATGAAATGCAGAAATCACAGAGCACTGCTAAGAATCTGATTACAGGTGAGATCAGCAATGGATTTTCTAATTAATTCCTTAAAATAACAAAGACTACCTGTATTGTTACACTGACATCATGTAGAAGATTGACAATTATTAGATACCAAGTGATCTCCAAATATTAAATTACAGTGGTAAGTTCACAAATTGAAATGCTTGTGGGTAACAAGTTATTTCTTTTCCTCAATTTATTTTTATTTATTTATTTGTTTGTTTGTTGTTTGTTTGTATGTATTATCTGATAGATGTTGTGTACTATGTATTTATAATAAGTATGTATATCTATTTATACTTACCTTACTATTATCACTAAATTATCATCTTCCTTGCACAGATATATGTTAAACAAGTGTATTTTAATACAGGGGTTGAATTGAGCTAGAATTTGATTTTACTAATACTTACCTCAAAATAAGATCTTTCATGATCTTGAAAAAGTATTTAATAAACTGAAGCAGAGTCTTCCACAGTTATCTAACCATGTATTATTTGTAAATGTAGTTCTTAGGGTCACTTACTTATGGTTTATGCTTTTCCAAAGGTATTTGTACCACAGGCAATTTATTGACGACAACGAACAGTTCTCAAATCCCAGGGCTTCAATTCTGCAGAGTGAATACTCATTTCGACTTTATTTTTAAAATACACAAATACTCAAATATTTATTAGCATCTTGATGGTGTTCTCTGTCATTTCAAAAAGCAGACAGTAGTTTTTCTTCATTCCCATTCCAAGTATCTCTTTACTTGCACTGTTTATGGTAGTATTGTCCTCACAATTCTGTATCTTTGCCAATATCATTATTGGTTCAGCAAACCTTTCCTTGTTTGTTTGCCTGAAAGGAAGGGGCAGAAATTAAGAACGATAAATCATTTTGTTAGAAGGCTGTTACATGTTGCATTTCATAGTAATTTTCAAAATAGGAGTCGGTATTGTGATTTCAAAGTAGTTATGAGTAAATAAGTTTTCTGAGACAAAATGTTAGAGAAATTGATTTTCTATTGTGTGTTTGAGCACTCAGTGTTTGCTTGTCTGCAACTACTCATTTTGCAGTTGTAATGTAGTTTAAATTTCTGGGTCTTATATTAAAAGTTCAAATACAACTTTTTGTTTTTTCATATAAGCACAATTTCTGACTATTGTACAATATAAGGATATTTTGGAAGCATGTAGTGCTATAGAAGTATTATTGAAAGAAAAATTTCTTTCTCTACAAGGGAAGAGGAGGAAGTTACAGTACGTAATTTTCAGCAGACAATTTAAATTACTCCTAAGTAAATGTCTGACAGCTAGGATTTACAGGTAGCATAACAAACAAGATTCTTTCAGAAATACAACGAATGCTCAGTTTGCAGAGTTGAAGTTCCTTCTGACCTTTGAGTTACAGCAGAGTCTTCTTCAGGATTCTTTTGTTATGATTAAAATCTGTATTTCCATATTTTCTTGCCATAACAAAGATATAAAAAGTCCACCAGCAGAACTCTTAAAAACATTAAAAAGAAAAGGAAACCATGAAGGGTAAACAAAAGTGCTGATAGCATAGTTTCCCAAAAACATTTCTCTGGGTCACTGTAGTTTGTTCTGAGAATTTACCACTGCGTACACACTGAATGCTAGATGCTGCAACTTCATGGCCTATCAGAAGGAACTGGGCTGCATCCTTTTCCTGTCTCTTCCCCTAGAGGAATTTTGAGTTTTTTTCAGTTTTGAGGTTTTTTCATTGAGTCTGCTGCTGGATAAAGATAAAATTTGCCCCTTCCAGTTTCTTTCTCCAGAAAGTGTGAATGGATAGGAATACTTATTGCAGTCACATTGTGGTTCTATTAGACGTTACAGTTCAATAATTTTTTTTACCTTTTTGGCATTTAGGTTGGTACTACTCTTTACATGTAATATAAATTCCATCTGGTCAACTATGTATAATTTTAAAATAACAAAATGCATATATTAGAACAACTACATGAAAGGTGAAAATGCTGGGATAAGACCTAATTAATCCTCATGAACATCTATAGTTGTTTTCTGCTATTTCTTTCCAATCTGAATTTTTTTATTACTGTATTTTTTTTTACTGTTCCTGACCTAAAACATTTCTTTATTGATGTCCTTAAGCATTTGTCTTTAAACCACAGTGCTGTAGGAACAAGAGAAGTAAAGGTGTGATCTCTTCAGTTGTGGTTTACAATCTGTCATTGATCAATACCAGAAACTTCATTGTGAAACTTGGAGCAGTTGTGAAATATTGTACACACGGTGAAAGTGTTTTCTTAAGCCCTTCGCAGTGGAAGGCAGACTGCGAATTACTTACATCCGAAGCAATCAAAAATATTTTAGTTTAAAATCCTTCTTTTAATTTTCGTGGGCACTTCTCATATTTATATAAATGATCCTTGCACATAGAGGACACTTTCAATCTTATGTTATGGAACAGCTTTATTCAGGATAATTGCAAATGGTACACAAAAATATTGGTTTTTCTTTTTTGTTTTTTTTAATTTTGTGGTTCCTAAAGAAATCATAAAACTGCCCTGTAATAAGCCAGAAATGTTAATAAAAGGAAGTGTTTCACTCTAACATATAAGTATATGCATAAATACACAAGCAGAGAGATGAGTAGCAAAATCTTGCTCTGAGAGTGTTTTGATCAGGTAAGATTTTCCCATGTAAATCCACTGACGAAACTATACCCATAGTTTTTGGAAAGGTGAACTTTCTTTCTATCACATAGACACATCTATTTTCTTCTGCCTTAAAGATTTATACTACTTTGGTTAAGTTGGGGAGGAAATTTTCTGTCCTTTTTTCAGCAGATCAGCACAAATCTCAAAATGCAAACCTATGCCAAGAAAAGATTTTTTGTGCAGTCTCATCCCTCCAAATAGCCCATGTTGCCTGATACTTTGGAGTGTAGGGAAAAAACTGCATTATCTCTGTCATTCTTCTGCGTTAGACATAGATCTGAAATTTAAGAAGATGTAGCCATGTGTTTAACGTTGAGGAATGTGAATGAAATGCAATGACAGGTCAGGTTGTAATACCATCCAAACAGTCTAGCCAACATCTAGTCCTTCCCCATTCCAGGTAGATAGCTTTCCCCCAGACTGAGCCAAAGTATTTTCTTTTACTTTATTTTTTCTTCTCTCTCACATCTTCTGTCTGGACAGTTTCAGTCTCTACAGTCCTCTTTATGTCAGAATCCACCCATAGTTTAATTCCTTTAATTACCTGTAACTCTGTTATGTTTTTAGTGGAGTCTCCGAAATAAACACTATACATTGTAGCCCATATTGATGTTGTAAGCTGTGATTTTTTTTCTGTGGATATAAGAAAGTACATATGAAAGTTTTCCTGTACAAAGCCAATGTTTAAAGCAAGTTTTGAGTATTTGTTCTCCTAAAACTAAGTCTTATCCATATTCAAGCAGCTCAAATAAAAATAGCAGGATGCTAAAAAATAATAAAAATAGTTTTTCAATTTGTGTGCATCATTGCAATAAACTTCTTCTAAGTTATCACTGCTGCTTTATGATTGTAGTGCTATAATTAATTGTGTGGTGCTATAAACGTTAAAAATAGGAACAGAATCTGTGAAACAGAAGATCATCACATTTTCATTACTCTTCACTTATGGATTAAAAGACAGTAGTTGTAGTGTATGAGTCTAACTTGTGGCATGGTTGTGAAGATTTTATTTCCTTCACATTAATAGTCCCATAAATATAAAAAATCAGAAATATATTTAGGAGGTGTTTATATTGGTTAAATATAACTTAAAGCTTTATATAATGGGCCATGTATAATGAAACAAAAAATACTGTTAATTAGAGATTGTGTGTTTGGTGGTCTAGAGAGTCAAAAACTGCAGATGGACTTACAGAAGATGGAACTGTTGGAGGGCAAGATGGTTGGTGAACTGGCTTCTCTTAAAGACAAGATTGAACAGACTAAAGCAGAGTTGGAGATCTACAATAATTTGCCAGCTCTAAAAGCATCAGGAGAAGAAAAGAAAAAGGTAACGAAAGGAATGAAAAAAAGTGTGTGCGTTTGAACAGCTTGTGGAAGGGAATCCAGTTTTGTGATTGAGAGTCATTCCTGACAACTGAAAAACAGGATTGTGCATCAGTGTAAATGAATCCAAATACTATTTTGCTTATATGTGTGACTTATTAACTGGGTACATTAGCAGGTATTCAACTGAGTATCTTTTGAGAACCTCCTTCCACAAAATCTACCCCTTCTATTTTAGCGATTCAGCTAAACTCTTATGTAATTTATACCCATAGCTTTGAATTTAGCAATCTAACAGAGAATGCAAGCAAAAGAGGATTTCCTACAAATTCTTAGTATCAGCATTCCTACTGGTTCTCATACAGTATTGTCTAAGCATACAACTTGGTCATAATCATTATTATTCTTGAGATAGAGCATGCAGTACTAGAGAAAAGCCTAGGAGTTCTTTAAGCATATGCATGTGGTCTTGTTCTAAAAGGAAAAATGTAGGATCTGGAAAGGTAAATTGAAGTAATGTGCATGAAGCCTATTGCAAGTGAACTCATCCATTAATCAGTTTGTGTTGGGCTTTTTTCCAACTAGAAACTCCAGGATGACAAAGAAAAATTAACAAAACGCAGCCATGCTTTTAAGAAAATAATGGAGTGTTTGAATACAGAATATGACACACTAAAGAAGGAGCTGCAAGAAAATGAGACGCATTCTCAGGTATAGCTCAAGTTACATAGTATCCCTTCAGTTGTTTCTTTCTTGGGTTTGGTTTTCTCATACACATGAAGCATTGTACAGACAGAATCTGTTTGTTCTTTCTCAGTGAGTTTTCTAAATCGTGTGTTCTAAGTATGTAGCTTTACTTGCTGTTTTCAAACAAAAGTTAATATTGTGCCAACAAATGGCTTGTAAGCTTTGGATTACTAGCAGAGATCTTTCTGAGCTAAAAGTTTTGTGTGCCCTTTAAGTTTGTGTTAATGTTGCTCAGAACTCTACCTTCTGCCCTTCCTTTGCTTAAGTAGTTTGAGGATGAACTTAGAAAGAAATGGCAGGAAAAAAAAACACTATTAATTAGCTAAAGATCCCTTTTGCTTTTAAAGTCATGGTGTTAATTTTTTTTCTTTAAATCTGTGCTATTAATTCCATTTTCTTTTTTCCAATTCTTCTGCTCTTTGCAGGCCACTGAAGTTTTAGGGTCTGTTCACATTTAAACAATTTTGGAATATATGTATGTTTACGTTTCAAAAGTGAATCAGGAAAGAAGATGTTTAAAACATCTTGAGCAGCTTCTATTCTTTCTTTATAGACACACATAAATTTCTCTCATTTTGGCATCAGAATTTTACTGGCATGTATGTTTGAATGCACAGAAGAGAAATAGATAACCTTAAAATAAGGTGGAAATGGAAACTGATTTTTTAAAGCATTTCACTTTTTTTATTGATTGACGCTGTTGAGATATTTGTCCTTTAGAACTGGGTTATTATTTTTTTTTCTAATACAGTAAAAGCTGAAGGTCATATTGTACGTTTAAGTTGACTTTCTTCTGAAATTAATGTCGTGGAGCAAATGAGAAGCCATAGCTCTAACTGAGGTATATGTGTCCATTTGTAGCATCGGATTATTATAATCATTCTAGGGTGATGATAGAAATCCTCAAAGCTACATGCCAAAGTGTGCAAGACCTGAGATACTGTTATCTTTTTTTCCAAGATTAAAATCTAGAGTTTAGGTAAATTGGAAATGCATGCCCAAACAGTGTTAAGATACTTGCATAACGTGGCTTAACATTTTATATAATATAGTAGTTGTACAGCATTTCTTCAGTTCATTAAGCTGTGGCAGTTATATTTTTATGTGTGTGAAAAGGATTTGTTTCTTTACTTTTTATGTCCTGAGTGTAAAAAAAATGAGGGTGAATTAAGGTATGTCTTACAATAACTGATTACTTGGCATGCATTAAGCATTTTGAAACAAATGGCATTCATAAATATGGAAGACCTGGTCAATTTTGCAAGACATCAACTGGTCTTCAAGCAGTAACTATGAAAATACACTGAATCTTTCCTTTTCTCTGTGCAAGATAGTAAGTATTTCAGTTCCGGGCTCCTTTACTGATTGTGTTTGTGTGCAGCAACGTCTACAAAGAGGATAATAAAAATTCTATTTGGTCAGAAATACCCAGTCTTGGAAACAAATTATTGCCTTGTTTGCTGCAAGTCAGTACACTAGATAATTGATTCTTTACTGTTAAGGTTTGAGTTACACAGAAACTATTTTCGTCTCTTCCAGCTTAAGAGTAAGCTTTTAAGTTATATAGTGCAATGTTTTCCTTGTTTATTACCTTAGTTTCCACTTAAAGTTTAGTCTCAGAATGATTTTCAGTTTTGCTTTTAAAAATAACATCTGCATATCTTGAAATGCAGAACCTTGAACAGTAGCATCAAAAAAACAAATATAAAATTGTATTGCAAGGAAGCAGCCATCAATATAATGTCCACATTAGTTTCCTGTTGATGTTGAAAGTATTGAAGAAGTGCCAGCACTGAACCCACACTCCTACAATCTTCTTGCTGCAGCTCTGTTCTTATCACGACTTCTGGCATCAGACAGGAAACTTAACTATGGAAGTAAGGAAGTTTCTCCTGTGCAGTGCAAAGTCCAAGACAGTGTCAGGAAATATTGTATCTTTGGTGATTTTAGATCTTACTGATTCTAAGAAGAGATCCATCTAAATGATAAGAAGCATAATGAGAATTAGTATCTCCCTGAATTGTTCACCTTTTTATTTCTTGAATTCTCATCGATTTTTTCATCTGTCACTGCAGTTGCATGCAGTGCTTTTATAGAGATAGATTATGAAGTGCTAAATTATATATGCAGGTTAATCATCATCAGCTTTAAAAACATTGTGCCGTTGTTTCTCATTTCTGTGTTTTTATGTGAAATAACTTTGATCTTATGTTTTGATACAGTACAAGGCATACAAGGCACTGATACAAAATTATTTGTGTAAAATATGTGTGTAATTACTACTATTTTCATTTTTGGCTCTTTTTGTGTTTTCAGCTTACAAATTTGGAGAGGAAGTGGCAGCACCTTGAGCAAAATAACTTTATGATGAAAGAGTGTATCCTTTTCTTTAAGAAGTAAGAGTCAAATTCACACACTGTATTAATTGAGGAAGAAGTCTGTTTCCTCCAGCAGAATAAGACAGGATGGAATGGGCTGCAGAAGACAGCGGAGGAGGGGAAAGGCAATCCTTTGCAAATATCTGGTTAGTTGATAGATATTATATATAGCAAAACCTGCATGTGTTGTTTGAAACAATATTACAGGGTCCTAAATCATAATCTTTGCCTTGCAGTCTGGGATTTTTTCCTTCTTTCTAAGGTTTGTCACTAGGTTTTATACAAAGTTCATCTTCACATCTCTCCAGTCTTATCTGATGTTAATTTGCCAGTGTAGCATTGTTTGAAAACATGCTGGGGTGAGGGAACTGTCTTGAGCTCTCTCTTTATGCATTTCAAGTTAACAAGTTGTACTCCAGTAGTCCTGTCAGCAAAATTGTTACTTGTTGATTTGCAAATGGCTTTCATAAGATAGTTTTTGAAATTAGGAAAAGCACTGAAGTTTGTTTGAATCAGAACTGATGGTTCTTCTCATCTGATACTATTTTTCTATTTCTCTCCTTAGTTGTGATAGAGATCTGATTAGGACCAGGCTGCCTTTTTATTTTATATTCTAGGGACAATGAATACACTGCAATAAAATTACTTCTTTAAAATTATTTAATAAATAAATTTTATTGAAATCTCTAAGATGCACAAAATCACTGTTACATGATTACGTACAAATGTAATTGGTAAAGGTAACGTCAAAACTAGACGCCATCTAGTGTAGTGTGTTGGACAGTGAACATTCCTTAATGTCTCAGAAAATGGCACGGGAATGCATTTCAGGCAACTCTATAATAGCCCAGCCATGACAGAAATAACACTGATAATGATTATAATTATTGAATAGTTAATGCATATACGTATAGCTATATCTATATGTATATATATAATGTTGTTTTCTGCATGTACCATATATCCCATTTCTCAAATCTGGTAAGTGCTCCAATTCTTAGAAAAATATCTGAAAAAAGTCTTGGACAGTGTAATATAGTTGGAGCCACCTTCTCTTTGAGGGAGGCTCTATGGAAATATTTTATTAAGGCAATACTCTTTAACACAGTTTTTCTTAACAGAAAAGACTGTAAGGCAAATCAAGAGAAAAAGTTGATCAGGGTATTAAATTATCTCCTAACTTGGTATGAAATATTACCTATCCAAGTGCAGACCCTTATACAGAGTACTTGTGTCTGCTTGGGCTAATGGAGAGGGACTTCTTTCTTGGACTGGAATATTGGTAGCCAGATTGTATGGCTGTACATCATTGAGTGCCATGAAATGGTTTGGTTTGCAGTGTAACAATAGATAGAGTCCTTCATGAGGGACTTGTTGAATATACATATGTATATGTGTATATATATATGTATTTAAAAACAAAAGTGACTCAGGCACATTATCACTTCCATTTTCTACAGTGCTTGTCATGAGATGGCAGCTAGTAAATTAATGTAAATCTTTTAGCCCCAGTCTGAGTTTTTCCACTATTTTCATCCTTTTATCCCTTGACAGTTTACACAGAAGGAAATGTATGGTGCTGTGGTTCCCCTGTGATCTGTGATTATGCTCATATTTATACTGGCAGTTTGTTTCCTTAATTATTTTAATCAGTCATAGCAACAAAAAGTCAGGAGAGTGACTACCGGCCAATAATGAAGAATTCAAGAAAGCTGGTCAAAGAACACAACAAAGCTCTCATAGAAGCTTTACAGAACACCAAGAACTGAATCCAGGCATTTCCTTCCTGCCCAAATGGACCAACGAGAGATGTGCAAAGGCTGCAAGGAAAGCCGGACTGCTGAGATCATTCACTCAGTGACATTCTTAAAATTATTTTTCCAGGTTTTTAGAAGTTGCAGGTTTTAATATTATCCCTCTTTTTGCACTGTTTAAAATTTTGAGAAATAAATATCTGAATTTTAGAAACAAAAAAGAAATACTGTCCAATGAGTTACTGAAGCCCATTGCTGAATTGCATCTCAAATGTGAAATTCTAGTCCGCTTTACCCACTGAATTTCTAATTGCCTTGTAGGAGGACTGCTTGACAGGCTGTCATATGCATTATCTTAAATTAAGTGTATAATAAGATATGGTAATATCAGCATACCACACCTATATGAATAGCAATTTATACCAAGTAAGGAAAGCATCTAAGGATGAGAAGCATCTTTTAAAGTCAAAACTGTTTCATAGTGTAAAATCTTACAATAAAAGCAAATGCCAGCAAATTTTCATTTCCTACTGGAGAGTTAACTTCCTTATTTTTTAAGATGTAATTATAAAGAGCAAACTCTGTTAAAAAGTAGTGAAACATAGCTTAGACTGATTTTGTGTGGAGAATTTTACTGCTATAGTATTCACCAGTAAAGGAAATAGCAGAGAAAATTATTTGTATTTTCTGCAATGTTTTTTTCCCTTCAGTTTCAAGCAGCAATGTCATATGGCACCTCTGACAAAAATCCACAAGAAGGAGTTTCAACATAGAACAAAAACAGGACTTAGAAAATAAAAATGCAGTTTATGATACAGAAATTTTAGAAAATGTTTAGATTTAAAAAAATGTCCATTTATGCTCATCTCACATTCTACATAATACGTAATGTATTTATGAACTGCTTATTGATCACTTTTTTCACCTGGTATATTGTAAGCTAATCCTGATCAAGTAGAAAAAGCACAGTTACTTTTGATAGAAATCTTAGCTAAACAGTGAACTAGGCTTGTAGAAAGAAACTACTAAAAAGAAGTGCTATCTGGATTTATAGTTGTTTTGCTTTCTTAGAAAAATTTTCCAGAAAAGAAGGTAGACTATGCACCTCACTTCATGAAACTGGAGTAGAAAAATTATTAGGAAATCTTCTGACTCCATTAAAATAGTTCTGTATTTTTGTCACTAATTTCCTCAAATCTGTGATTGTCATTTTGAGTGTAAAGAAATCTGTAAGCTAAAGATAATGAAGATTTGTGCAGAGAGCACTGTGTTTGCTAATTCAGCACACTAAAGGGTGTTGCTTTATATATTTAGAATATTTAGAGATAATGGAACAGGATTTCTATAAACCAAGGATAGTTATCTAGGGGAAATTCCCACTAAAGTCTCTTCCTTCCTGTCAGAGTTTCAGCTGTTCCAGAGAAATCCCATTATTTGCAGAGGTAAAGTTGAAGTCTAATATTCTCACCAATCAAACTATCAGCCAGAGATCACCTCCTGAATTCCACTTGTGCTAGAATAATATATTGTAATGAACAATGGAAAAAAGCTGCAGACTGAATAAACAGACTGCTTTGACTTTGCTTTCTCTCAGGGCAGGGAAAGGTTTTATTCCTTGGCAGTGATTCTGTAAGATAGCATGGTAAAGTTTACAGGTCTTTGCTGTGTTCTCAGGCGGTACCTTTCATGAAACCCGTTTCTCCAGGATGCTGCTCTTTTCCTTATTCTACTGAAGGATCTTCACATAACCTGTTTCTTTGTAAGAATCTCATCACTCATTCTTTCTCTTAACAATTTACCCATATGGTCCTTGATAGCAGTCATAGAACCCATAAAAAGAGCTGTGTGGATTCTAAGTGATGAGCTATGTGGCAAGGGTTTCCTCTCTGTCTGGAAGATTATTAACTCAATCCCAGTAGTGAGCTGAGTAAATAGTACCCTTTGTAGTTCCTCAGGTACTCAAGTATCAGTGGAAATCATATTTTCTTTAACTCTTTATCTTTTTTTTTTAAATATGGTTTGAGTACCAGATAATGTTTTTTCACTAAAGCTCTCCTATGTACATCAGGACACTAATTCAGTAACAAATTGCTCTTTACCCAGGCAATCTTTTATCCATTTTATACTATTGACTTCAGACTGAGAGGACATGAATTAACTGGCAGCATCTGCAGAATGGAGATACTTAAAATCCCTTCTGCTCACCTCTCTCACCAGGACTGAGTAAGTATCACCTCCCTCAGTCTGCTTGGCAATGCTCTTTTTAACTTGCCCCAGAATACTGCTGACCTGTTTTGCTGTGCATTGTTGGTTCTTACATCAGCAAGGGCTCCAAGGTCCTTTTCAGTAAACAAGTATCCAGCCCCTCAGCCCTCAGTGTGCATCCATGCCAGATTGGTCCTCCACTGGGGCAGTATTGTCCATGTATCTGTGTGGAACTTCATTACATTCTTGGCTGCCTGCTTTACCTGTTTAGATCCCTCTGAACAGCACTGCACCCATATGGTGTATCAGCCACTCCTCCCAGCTTTATGTCATCTGCAGACTTTCTGAGGGTGAACTCTGACCCATCATCCAGGACATCAGTGAAAAGATTAAAGTATTGCCCTCATTTAAGTACTGCCCTCATATCCATGGCGATGGTATTCCATACTCTCTGGCCTCCAATTGAGCTTCAGTTCCCTGACCACACAGTGAGTCCCAAGCCTGCTTATTTAACCATACTTTGCCAGCTTATGTATGGGGATTTAATGGAAAACTCTGGCAAACACCTTGCTTATATTGAGGTAAACGACATCCACACCTCTCTCCTTGCACATTGAGTTAGTTGCCTCATTGTGGATGGCTATCAGATTGGTTAAGCATAATTTCTGCTTCATAAATCTCTGCTCTCTTCTCATGATCAACTTCCCATCCTGGGACATCTTATCCAGCCTTAGTTGCTCCACAATTTTTGAGGGGACTGAGATGAAGTTGACCAGTCTTACCATTCCCTGGATCACTCTTCTTGCTCTCCTGAAGGTAGGAGTAACATATTCTAACTTTCAGTACTCAGAAGCCTCTCCCTTACCACCATTTAAAAAAAGGCACTCAGGAATGACCTTGCAATGCCTTAAGTCAGCTACCTCTCTACACATGTGGGCGAACCTCAACAAGCTCCACGGAATTACGTCTACGCAGTTTATTAAACGTTCCCATACCTAGTCCCCCTTCAGTAAGATGCCATTGAGGCATTAGGATGCCAAGTTTGGCAGTTACTGTCACTCCACATTCCACTCCAATAACACACTGTGTGAAAAGAAGCATTTCAATTTAAAAGCCATCAACCAAAGGGTATGTTTGCTGCCATGTTATTTGTGCTTGACGACAAGGACAGGAATGACTGCTATTGTTCCCAGCTGACGATGGCGTGACAGTGCACCAGCCTTGTTCCCGTGTATTCAGGGATATCATATCTCCAGGCAAACTGTATTTTTGGTGCAAGCAAAGGTTGATCCTCTTGTTGGTCTTCCTGCTTCATCTTGCCTTCATTACTTTTCATGGTGATTTTAAAAAGCTTGTTTTTCTTTCAAAATAAGTTTATTTTTAAATTTCTCTTAGTAATCTTAGAAAACAACAATGCAATATTCCTGTGTGCAATTCCAGAAAGGCAGAACACTTAGAGTCCTTTCTGCCTAACAACTTTAGTTAATGGCTGTTACTGCTAGTATCTGCTGTTTCACAATTGTAGGAACATATTTCCAAGGTGAAGTGTTAGTTCTTTCGGTACACTTCTACTTTCCTGCTGCAAGCATAAAACAAAAATACAAGGCATATTGTAGGTCTTATGAAGAAGTGTTAGCCATTAGAATGTCTTGGTTTGACGAGAAAGATATTAAAAACTTACTAACTCTTCTTAAATCATCTGCTTTGAGCGAGCTCCTTGGTGTTTCATGGTGAGAAGTCATCCAGGTGTGGTGGATGTAGCAATTGGAGTGAAAACCCTTCAGATTCTGAAGATGGTCCTAAAATTGGAGTTCCCTTCAACACCTGCATGGTGTGAATAGCAACCGAGCACCAAATGATGCATGTGCAGAGCAAGACTCTGAAATGCAGGTCAGTCATTCAGAAGGGAACTGGATTACTTCCAAACAAAATAGTTGTCGTATTTTTTCTTTTTGAGTTAAGAGGAAGGAAGCCTTTAAGCATTCACTGCTACAGAGATGATCTGAATTCAATTCCTAGCTTTGATCAGTCATTTGTTGGGATTGACAGAATCTTGGAGCAGAGGAAGAAATATTCTTGCACTGACTTGCACTCAACAGTTAGAGGTCCTCCTTTCAGGAAGGAGGACTAACTGAACAATACGCCATATGTGTGAAAGGGGAGGAAATGTTCCACGTTTAAAAAAAAAAACAAAAAACCAAAAAAAAATTATCCACTCTGTTTCCTTTTGTAGAGCTAATTCCTTGAAAGCTACGTTCATATAAAGTGACTGAGCTCGATTCAGTGAGAACTGGTGTCTTTGTATCACCCCCAAGATTTCTGCTGTGCAGCAAAGGATGAGTAAGGTGCAAGACCTCTGTCTCCAACATACAGCTCAAGTTTGCCCATGAATACTTGTGATGTAAGGGGGGCTCAGCACCTCTTAAAATTAGGAAGAAAAAGAAAATAGTGACTATAGTAGAAATTATCAGTTGCATCAGTGACTTTAACAGCTGTGCATGAGAGACAAAATTCTAAGTAAAGCCTTCAGATTTCCAAGATTTCTGCAAGATTGCCAGTCCCAAATTTGGAAGAAGAGGCAAGTGGACAGCAAATTTATCACTAAGTTGTACGTGTTCAAAATCACTATTAAAAAGCACCATTAAATCATACTAACAGTGTGATAATTAGTTAGTAAAAGATAGTAGATCCTGCGAACAGGATATTAAGAATTAATTTTTGTAACCTTAATGGCTGAGGGCACTACTCCTGAGATCTAGTTGACATGACTCATTTCCTGGTCCTTGTAAAGAATAGTCCAATCTTCAAAGATCACATGCATTAAAAGGCTTATGGAATTAATCTTTATTTCTCCAGACAGCAAAAATATGAAATTTCCCTTGTTCATGCCCTTTTACTTTAAGCAGTAATCGTATTATTGCTGTGCATAATTTGGGGAGATTTAATATCAATATCTAAAGATATTTGGGTATACAATTGTTGCCATTAAATGTAAATATACAGACTCATTTGTCCTTAAAAATATATTGTAAAAAAATACAACGAAAGTAGTAGAATAGAGAAGCAAATTTGTTGTCCTACTGACAACAGGCAGGCCATGTATGTTCTGAAACATACATGAAGCAGTTTTCAGAGGAATACGAGTGACTCACAAAGTAGAATTTTCAGAGTGTAACTGTTGCACAAACGGCCTAATGTCCTTCACAGTAACTTTACTGATACAGAAGCTCTAAAGTACTCCTGTGTTTTTTCATCAGGTGAGCTTTCCCTTTGAAAGAAACCTGAGATTCCCATCAGGTTATGTTTAATTCCATTCAATAAATTCCCTTTCATTTCAGCATCAAGGAAGACAGGAAAGAAACAGTTGCCTTTGGTTAAGGCCATTCTGTAGACTGCTCAATACTCAGCCATTTTCCAGGCTATGTTCTTGAAGAGAAACTCTTTTTAGAAAAGAAAACAAGAATCCACAAAAGAAGTTGATCACAGCTATTTTACAACCCCGAATTGCCTTCTAAATATGCATATGCAAGAGAAGCAGTAGAAAAAGCATAAAGAAACTGCACCTCCTCAGAATGAGGCACAGCAAGAAACTCCATTACCTTTTCTGCCTCACCTTAAAGTTTCTCAGAACCACTCATTTCAGTAGCATTGTTCCTCCATACTGTCCTGTCCATGTTTGCATGACGCGAACCCCAGAAACCTTTACTTCCCTCCCACCTCACTGAAGTGGGAGGGGTAGTGCTTATCCTGAGTGCTCACACCAGCAGCTGCACGTCCTCTCCCTGGCCTCCTGGCTGCTACATCTCACTTCCAGGTGGTCCCAAGTAAATGGCTTAGGGCCATGTTCCAGAGGAGAACTGATTCAGAGGATCTATTTGAGAAAAGAAGCTTAAACCCCATAATTTGTGAACCTTTGTTTCACATTAGCTGACTGTGATAAGTAATAATTCCTAAGGTTCCTTTACTGCCTCCTACTAACACATATTAACATCACGTCAAGTCCAAACTAATGGCTTGGTTCCAAAAAATATAATACATCCAGATACTACAAGAGGATTTGATTTGATTTGATTTGTGATTTCTGCTAACACATCTACCTTACTAAAGAAGTGCAGTGGCATTGTTTCTTTTTCCTCTTCACATTATTTCCATGTGGTACAGCATGTA